GAGAAGCAGAATCAAGAAAAAGTTTCGCAGTCACCCACTTCTCGCATATTTCTATTATTCGTGCATTCCATAGGCTAGCCCATTCTTGAACTTTCTCATAACCAACATGAAATGTCGGTTTAGTTGTTCAATACCGGTAAAAAGAAAAAATGTTAATAAAAACAACAACAAGACAACTTTTTTTTTAATTTTTCCAATAGAATCTATAAAGATACAGGAAAACCAAAATGAAGAAAAGGTTAAAAGTCTCAAGAAGAACACAAGAAAATAACAGATCACTAATTTGTTATTAAGATACATGTTGTGACATGTGGATGCGGTAAAATCTATATTGTATTCCAAAAATTAAGTTGTTTTATTGTAAATTTATATTCTAAATCGCTTAATAAACAGAAATAGATATATTGGTGACCGTTATTTTAAAAGCTTGCGGATTTCCAAGGATTCTAAGATTGAAGCATTCTAGATTTATAGATTTCAAGAATTCGAGAAATCTAGAATGCTTCAAACATTTTTTTCAGAACTGTTACAATTTGCTAAAAAGCAATATCCATGTATACCGTGTCCGAGAAAACAAAGTGTACACATACATATTATTGCAAAATCTCATTAGAAACATTGATGAAAACTTCTTACAAAAGAAATTCATTTACAACATCACATCATTTGACGTGTACATCTATTAAAATAGAAAAAATTTACTTGTTTGTTACTGTAAACAACGAACAGAACGCAAAAAGAGTTTCATTTGGGCTGAGAGAACGTGATAAGTAAACAAAAATCTCCAATTGTAGCGACACGCAGAGCGTGTCGTATGAATAGAAAAGGTGGAATATAATAACGTCATTGGAAAACTGTGGAAAGACGAATATTTCTCCTTGCGGCTATCCTTATCGATGTAGGGTGCTGGGAAGTGTTCGTTTCAGTAGCTCGACATATGTCCTGCATCTGAAGAAGCTCCGGACATGGTCACCGATATTATTACTATTTGTTAACTGTAGTTCTGACTAGAAGGCTAGCCTGATGGAGAGTTCTTCCCATCTAATTGCTTGGATCTCCTATATAACGGGTGGTCTAGATTAAATTACCGACTTTTGCATGGCTTTTTTCTCAAGCTAAGCTTGATCAGAAAATTTGGTTTGATGCTACAAGATAGAGAATTGTGTAGATTTTAATCATATATTCCTTTTGAAATAAGTATTTGCCGTTTTTCTACAGCATCAGAAGTACTAAAGCCATAAAAAGCTGAAATGGTCAACTTAAGAATTAGAAATTTTCTTTCGGTTAAATAAGTGTAAAAATTTGGTTTTAGTAATAAAAGATGGAGAATTTCAACGTCTAGCAGATGTCATTCTTCCCATGGGTTGACTGTCTGTGATAATGAATGACGAAGTTGCTATATTTACTTATAGAATGAAAGGCACCAAAAGGCAGTCGATTTCTATGACCGTTAAACATCGTCCTAAAATTTGGTTTTGTACCTAAAATATTAAGACTAGATTCTAGCTTTTAATATCTTGGTTGAATCACGCAACAAAACTAGTTTGATTACTAAAAATTACACTTTATTCAATGCAAAATGCTGAGCAATTCAACTGTTTACGGCTTTCAGCACTTCTGATGCTGTAGAAAAACCGCAAATACTTATTTCAAAAGGAATATATGACGTTTCTTTCATGCTGTAATGCGATGTTTTTATGTTTTTAAGATTTTATACACGGACCTTTTTATCATCGGCTAGGGGCAAGAAAGCTAAATGGGCTGAACTCGGTTTATTTACCATCTGCATTTCTTACAACGGTTATCATCTATTTATTCTCTATTCTTAATATAAAAAAAACTTCTCTCTCTTTAAAAATATATAGCCCTAATATTGACTAAAAAGGCTTTTATAAAAATATGGGTTGTGCTGCTCAAAGGTGTGAAGCTGAGACTGAGTCACACCTAACCTCACCTTGATACGCAACTAAGTAAAATGACATTATTCAGCTAGAAAATAGCCATTGTAGGCCAACATAAACAACAAAATGTGTAAATATCTGGATGTCTTTTTTCCACACTTAATGTGAGTTCGCCTTACCCAGCCTAGTGGTTCCGCCGCCTGTGCGGTATCAGGCAGTGGCAGTGACTCATGGCATGGCGTATGCACTGACAATATCGCATTGATTCCTACCAGTGCCGCACTTGCATTTTTTTTGCAGCAGTACTAGCTCATTCCAATAAGTCTCACGGACCAATCGCAGACCTGTATGGTATATCAAAACACATTGAGTATACTATCGGACGTGTGATCCGAGGCACTAAGACATAAGTGCTAACTTGTCCAAGATTATGACAACTTGTTGTCGTGAAGGTTCAAACCCAGCACCTTCGAAATACGTAATGAATAACACAATCAAGAAGCCATACCATTGTCGTCAAAAATTGACGGTAAAAACGTTTCAGATAACGTTTTTCTCATATGTCATGATAAAGACGTTGAGTTCATGGAGAAAAAATTGATTGATATAAAAGAAACAATGAAATATTTTATTGCGACAATTTGAAAGATCTGTGCTGATTAGAGTCAAAGCGAACCAATAAAATTAATACTTTGTGACTTCTTTACAAAGTGGAAGGTACTCACAACGTTCACATACGTATCTCAGTTTGAATTATTCTTGAGTTGGAGATGAAGATAAATCACACTTAGATGACAATGTTCTCTTGACCAAAGTGGATTGACCAACAGGATTCAGTATTTCTAGAGATATATAAATTATTTTAGTTAATAAGTTCGATGATCTGATCGTTAAAAAGGGATGACTTCAGTTGACGACAAAAGTGTTGAGTACTTCGATACATTTTCGCGTTCAACCCCGACGTCAAAATTCTGAATATATTCAAAAGTTTCTTAATCTGAGGTTGGAGTTTTTCATGTGAATATGACCGTTCATCTAACGGTTTGTAGCAGCCATCCGATTACGGACACTCGATTACTGAGATGGACTGATTATAAATCGAGCTGAGATAGTACTTGTGAACGTTATCCAGGTTGCTAGTAATAAAGCCAATAATGGTTCGAGCTAAAGATATTTAAGTGAATTATTTAAACAAAAAGAATACTTTTCGAAGATCAAACCTACTTATAAGACAAAAACGTTCTAAAATCGGTTAAAATGAGATGCTGTCACTTTGTAATACAAGACAAAAATAGCTATTGAAAATCGAATCGAATTTCCATAGCTGCATTTTTCTGCAAAGTTAGTCTTTGCTTGTCGATTTAATTGTATCTTATCGACTCTTTTTTTCTCTTGGCAGCATTTCACTGCCCTTTTAAACTCAACAAAACTGGGTCCTTTAACAGTGCATTTTGTACATAATTTTGAAAAATTTCAAAACAACATTAGCATAAAAAAAAACAAGTTCTATTTTGATTTGTCTTAACTGGTTTTATTATTTGCCTTTCAAAAGAAAGGTCCCGCAAAAAAAATTAGAAAACGTGCGGCGACGCTATCCATATGGTTAATTCAAAAAACAAAAGAAAACTGTTTCGGTTTTTCAGAACAATGACAAAATGAAATTTAAAATGTAAAAATGAGTGGTTAATAATTTATACGCCTGAAAAGCCATTGCTTTTCCGTATTTATTCCGTTTCTTCTTTCTGTGGCTTATTTTACATTATTGTATAAAACACGTGACGATATCAAATGTTTTACGTTAGAGGTCTCCAGTTATTCCAGTGTTGTTGTATATTTTCTATTTTCATTTTAGAAAAACATGTCTCGTATTTTTCGCGTATTAATCAGTTTATTTAAAAGACCATCAGAAACAGCTTTTACTAAATTAGTTGGCACAGATAAATTTCAAAACAAGTATTATGAGTGTTTACCTGGTAAAACAACTTTAGGGCATGAAATTTCTCGTCAACAAGTTTTTACTTATGATTTCAGGGCACTCACGATACAAAACTGCGCCGAGATTTTTAGAGCCAGAAGATCCCAATAATGAATTTCCGAAATTAGATCCACAGTGGGATGGTATGGTAAGCGTAGAATTTAAGAGTATCCAAGTTATAATATCAGAATAATACTTCTGTTTTTTAGGCTGGCTGAGAGGAACTCGAAAACTACCGCCAACAGAAGATGAAATAGCTAAATATGAACGACGATATCAACGTCTCTCTGAAAAGGTATGTTTATAATGATAAGCCACTTCTGAAATAATGAGATCTCTTATTTTGTTAGGAAGTTTTTATGGATCCATCGAGTTATGGTTTGGCGTCTCCTTCCGGAAGTGAAAGTACGTGTTTTATTCATTTTAGTCAAGCAAGAATGACTCTATGATGCTATTCTAAAAAACAAGTTTTTAGCTTAGAAAATATGATATCTTCAGACGACAATCGTTGTTTCTTTTTATTTTAGAACCTTATCCTACACGACCAGAATATGAACGTGCACCGGGTGTTAAGCCAGAAACAAATAGGAAAAGCTGAAAAAAAGAAACGATAATTTTTTTTCCAATTTTTATAAATTTGTTTGTGCTGTTTTTGCTAGAAAAATTTGTAACAAAAACATTTCTGTATGTGTATGTGTGTATAAGTTCTTTTTATGCTTTCAAAAATAGAACCTTTTTCACAATTATATACTTTTTTAACCATTGGACTGTTGTAATAGACTCTGGTATTGAAAAATCATTTCAATATATTCATCGAGTGAAAAAGGTATGGTTAATAGTTAATGGCCAACTTTTTATTCATTCGTTGTATCTTTACTGAATAAACGTGCTAGTATTTCGTTTATAAAAGAATTGAACATACAATATTCTGACAGTGCTTTTTTTTCTATTTCAGATTGAAAACAGTAGAAGTAGTTGTTTCAGAATGAATGGAAATGACATATCGGACAATAACAACAACTATCACTCTAACACGAGTCCTTCTAATCTATTAACTCGTACAACGATACGTGAAGCCAATATACATTTACAACTTTTACATTCACGAAACCAAGAGTTAGAAAAAATACTTGAAACGCAACAACAAACAATTAAACGTCAAGAAGATGCACTGATGAAAAAAGATCAAGATTATATGGAATTATGTAAAAAATTACGATTTTTAGAACGTCATTGTGAAAATTTACAATTACTATTACATGAAAAAGACAAACGTTTAATTATTTATGATAGAAAAGATGCCATTTTTTCTGAAACACTTGAGTTACGACCAGCTATTGAACAGCTACTGGATATTTTAAATACATTTGAATTAGAAGATCAGATTGTATCAGTTAATATGAATAACTCAATTCAACATTTAATAAACCATAATAGTAAAACAACAACAAATGCAATAATTTCAAATAAAATACCGTTGGAATTTGTACAAAATAAAAATGGTCTCAGTAAACATACGATAAATGATAATTTTACAACAAAGAAAATAACAAGAAGATTAGAAAAACAACAACAAAGATATCGTGTACAAAAAGAATTATTCTCTCAACCACAGCTAAATGATGAACAATGGTCAACAGTGTCTGATGATCAAGAGCAGCAAAACAAGACAGCTACCACAACGCAAATTAATTTGGAAAATTGAATTGAACAGTATTTCTTTTCTTTCTTTCTTCCTTTGTTTGAAAAAAGTTTTTGTTGTTCCTTTTATTCTATGTAAACTTTGATTTGTCAGATTTTTTTGTTTTGAATAACAGTTGTTATAATGTGATAAACTCAGCACGAATATTTAAAGATGCTCTAATCCGTTTAGTATGATAGTTTTCAATTCCAACATATTTATCTCGCAGTCAAAATCTCGTTTAAATCTTCGTTGTTCTGTCTCCCATATTTAAAGAGCGCTATTATTTATCTAAAAGTCATTGGATTATAATTATTGTTTTGTTTTGTAAAGTGAAACATGTACTTAGTCAGTCAGTTTTGGTGGTTGTGTATTTCTTTTTCAAACAAATTTTGTTTCTTCAGTATTAGCTTCATTTTTCTATTTTAACTGATATCCACTTACTGTATTTATTTTTTTCATTATTTTTGGTTATTTTTTGTTTTTGATTAATTATCACAAAAATGCGAGATAGACATAACATAGTGGACATTTGTGAAAACAAATTGCATTGGGTGCTGCAAGATAATTTTAAGTTCGGAATCGAATTGCTCTTTTAATCTCAATCTTGTTCATTTGTCGAGTAGCTATTTCATATGTTTTATCAAAACTGCTCTATGAACATAAGCTAAATCCATTATTCTATTAAAAGATTATTCTTTTAACTGCTATTTAGTTTACTTCATCCTGTTTTAACCTTCTCTCTCAAAAACCAGTATGTACGAGAAAAAAGAGCCTGTGCGCGTACGTAAGTTAATCGTCAACGTTTGTATCGCGTTCTCCGAAGAATTATATCCATGATTGTGCATTTTCATTGCCATTTTTTTTATAAAACGTAACTTTTTATTATTGTCATTTATCAGACATTAGTCCTCAGTATGCACTAGCCAATATGCTGACGAGAAACGAAGCATACTTTTATCTATTCTCGATACTATTTTAAACGTTTTGTGAAATGACTTTTACTTAGTAATACTTTTGGAGCATAGGAGAAATGCTTCATTTCGAATAAACCTTTGAGTCGTCTATGATGATCAAATATTTGTCTTAACGCAGCAGACAGGTGGCGTTCACGAAATGCAATGTAGATTGAATCGTTTTAAGCTGTGGATTATAGAGTCTCCAAAGACCTTCTTGAAAGCCGGAGTTTTAGAACATCAAAATTATATAATTTCGATTATTCGTGTGTGTACCAGTCAAAACCATCTCAGTTCTGAAAGTTTCACAAGTTTTCTAAAGAATTGACGATTTCATAGCTCTATCATTCTAAGCGCACCTAAGGGCGAATCTTGTGAAAACTTAAAAATTCAATAAATCAGGAACGCCATCAGCTGGAAAGTTGAATCTTTGCGGATATCAGAGATATAGAGAAGAGCGACAGAACAAAATTTGGACTCCTAAGTCCTTTTCTTGAGAGAGTTATAAAATATTTAATTTTCTCCTGTTTCACTAGGAAAAAAGAAAAATTCTATAACTTTTGAAAAAGCAGCAAGGGCTGAAATTCTTTTTAGGGTTTTCACTAGCTCACTATCTCGTGAGAAAAATGAGTCAGTCAATTGTGCTCTCGCCAGTGGAATATCGAATGCATTCACATTTGATATTGATAAAGTATATTGATATAATGGGATGCGATCGATGTGCCGGATTACGCCTAACTGTTGAAAGTGACGGGTTTTTTAAGATAAAAACATGAACATTTTATGATGTCCACTCTGAGGCCATTTTTGCATGTTAAATGCTAGTTTTTGTCTGGTATATATTTTACGATTTGGCATTAAAATGGCATGTTAACGGCGGATGTGAATTTTAGTTTTAGATACATGCATGTAAATGCCTGCTTTTAGGTTATGATTCACGTTGAAATAACGAAGAAACAGTGACTGTTAACACGCAGCTTTTAGCTGATTAAAAGCTTTTGTTAGTCATACAGTTAACAGGCTTTGCGTGAGTTATCAGATGTTAGTGTTAGTGGACCTGGGAAACCTACAGCTTTGCAGTTTTTTCGGAAACGGAAGCGAATATAAAAAGATCGCTTATGTCAAATTTCTATTTTAGTTTTGTCATCAAAATAAAAAACAATCGCTACCGTTGGATTGTTGAGAAAAAAAGGGTGCATTAGATCTTATTTTAACAAGAAGGCTTTGCTTTGCATTCAAAGAGCACGTGTAGAACAGAAAGTAATATAGATCCTAACAGTAGACAGTTTATGCTATATAGTGAGCAGGAAAAGGTGCCAAGAAATACTGTGTAAGATTTTCATTTTTTATATGATCATACAAGAAAATCTATATCAAACTTATCAGACTTTGATAGCTATTCATTAGTCAAAGTGAGCATGTTTTATTTTTCAACGCTCTCATGAGAGTTCACTTCATTAACAGACATAATTTCAAATGTTGAATCAGCTGAAGATCTTATATTACATCGTTTGTTGATAATTTATTACATATAACTAAAATAAAAAGCTTATTTAAGAAAATAGACGCTAATTTCAAAGTGTTAGAAAAATGATAAGTGCAGTTATCATTGTAGAGTAAAGCTTCATGATGAAAGATACTTGGTTGAATAAACGACATTTGTTTGTTGTTACGGTACGTGGAGTTGTTATGGTACGTGGAGTTGTTGTTGGCAGGATGGGAGATGTGGTATCTGGTTGTCTTTGATAAAATATATCGTTTAATATAAAATTGTACGTAATCTGACTTTTTAAATCTTCGACGGTCTTTATATCATTACAATTATCTCTTGTGCAGTATATATCAATTTCACTTATAAAGAAGTTTTGGCTATCAATATCAATATAGTAGATCGCTGTAACCCTAAGCTGTGGCTGGATGTCTCCGAATTCACACATACTAAAGAAGGAGTATTTACATTGTTCAGGATTATCTGTTTGAGAAGAATATTCATCAATAAAACATATACCATTTGGACATGTTTCTTGTTTACATGTAATGGCAGTTAGATCATTTATACATTTTGAACAGAAAAGACATTCTTTAACAGGCACAAGTCCGTTGACTAATGATGATTCTAACCATTGTCTATCAATACTTATGTTAAATGTTTGTGGGAGAAATTTCATGATCCCGACATCGTTGCATTCATCCCAATCACAACCATATTGTATTTCATCGACCAATGTTGGTTGCCATTCAGTGCTTATTCGACTGATTGTTTCTGTTATAATAATATAATGTGAGCTTCTCAAGAAGCCTTCTGCAGCACCATTACGAATGGATGTGAACAATCTTTCTTCTCGACTAGATGTTTTAATGATTATTATCAAACAAATGTTATTACCAACATCTGTGACCTTGCACTCGTTGTTGGACAAACCGGCACAGGTATCATCACCATTAGGAATAATATAACAACTACAACTATGACACAGACGGGTGAACACAATAGATGGAAATACAGCAACGAAACAATAAATCAACAGAAATGTATGCATGTTAGATATATTAGATTATAGCTTCTGATTACGAGTGAAGAGACTTATTCGACCTTATATAACTAATGTATTAAGTACCTTTATCAAACTTTATAAAATTGCAAATCAAGAACTAATAAAAAAAAATGATTTTATAACTTCTTGAACAAACAACAATTGGTAATAAAATACGTCTTTTTAAAGTTACGGTATAGTATCCGTAAGGTTATATACAAAGAATGCTGATCATTCTTCAAGTTGAATAACGTTTTTGTTGCCTGTTATTTTTTTGCGAGATGGCAGAGTTTCACTTTGTTACCTTTCAGCAATTGTAAAATTTTTCAGTTTTTTATTTTGCATTGAAAATAATGAGTTAATGTCTCATAACATATTGACATCACCTAGATAATGGTACTGATCAGTAAAAACAAAACGTGTAACTTTTATTTTATAACATTACAGTAGGCCATGACCCAATACCAAATTTTTTCGAGTGTTCGGTCCAAAGCTTTTCCTTCATCTACTAATCCTGAATAATGTTTGTGACATGAAAGCGAAATAAGGTGTTGCCAATTCAGAAAGATAGCATGATTTTTGTTTCTCTTCTTTTTGGCATGGTTGAATAGAGCTCATCGAGTTACCTTGGAAAAAGCCAACTTAAGGTTTTTTAATATCATTTTCGGATGAAAAAATTGAAAAATACTGAACTGTAGGAAAAACAGTAATATATGTTTTATGATACTGTATACACCGATTTGCTCTTATCTATATATATATGACTCGTACTCAAGTACATACGCAAACCAATTACATTCTAAAAAATAGAGTATTTTCGAAAACTTATAAATGATTTTCGAAAATGTTACTATATGAAACCCTTTTGGGTTCTCGAGACTACCTTTCGAGTGGGTTTTCGAACCATCGAAACTACTACAGACCATCTCTTTTTATGTCACAAGTGTCCTATATATAGGATGGTCTGTAGTAGGGGTGTTAGTTTAGTTTTTATAAAATAAAGATAAATGGATCAGTTACTTTTAAAAAATAAAGGTAAAATAAAGAAATAAACATTTGATTTTATGGAATATATGCAGTAGATGTGGAAGACCACAGAATTTGTTATTATTCAGATAAAGTACTTTATTTAGAAGATGTTACTGATTGAAAACACCTGAACTGTAGGGATAATTCCAAAAACTAAAGAAATAAAGATGAAATAAATGGTTGATATTCTTCTTCTGTGACCACGTTGTTTTTCTTGGAATTCGCTGCGGTTATTTTATTCAATCTTCTCTTTTCGAGCTAGATTGGTTTTAGTCGATCTGGGTAATTCATCATGCCTAGATCTGTGCGCCGCGCCGCTGCCGCCGCTGATGGATAAGTTAGATTTCTGCGCCGCCGCCGAAGGCATCCAAGTTGTGTGAAGGTTCTCGCTGTAAAAGCTTATTTTGGCCACCGCTGATAGAAAAAGTTTTGCGTAAAAACATGATGCGAAATTGGCGGAATCACTGGTTCAGTATGTCTCTGTCATCTATATCTGCATAGGGAT